ATTAAATTTCCTCATCCCATGGATAAATGCTTAAGTGCTATGACGTTTGAAACTCCTTAATTGAGACAAAAGTAGTTATCTTTCTAATCATACGGTCCTAATGCATCGAAAAGTTTAAATGACTTGACGCGTCTGTCGTAAGCTTGGTCCCATTGGCGCGCGCACTTTAAAACCATTCATAAGACGCGAGCTATGAAGTTTAAAAGCCAACTTGTCCGAATTACGTTTTTCGCTACCGTCAATCATAATTACGATCACAAGCAACAAACCTTGAAACATAGAAACTCACAAAATGAATTGAAACCACTAATCACTCATCACAAACGATGACCTTTTCGATTTTAATTCATGGAAGTAAACTTTTCTTGATCTCTCTTGCTAACTGAGTTGATTGACGACAGCAGAAGACGCAAACAGTAGCTGGCTTTTGATATTGGCGTGTTATTGAAAGCCACCGTAACCATGCCAATGTTCCGTTTCACTGACACCACCTGTGCTTCTACAGTTGCTGTAACTTTGTTTTTATTAATAAACAATTAGAAGTTAGTCCGGCTATAACGCGCTCTCTGATTGGTTGAAAAAGAGTGCTTTATGAGAGCTGTGAGAGTATAAAAACGGAGCGAAAACTGTCACATCATCTGCCAATAGTTTGTTTTGAAAATTAGAAAGCAATGCGTGGGGAATTTAAGGGATTCTTTATCATGAAACAAATGTATAACGAAGCCTTGACTAAGCTCTTTTCGACTACGTCTCGTGTTTACCCCTACACTTCTTTCGAAGTACTACTCTGGCCGCTTTCGGCGTGATTCAGTTACAACAGAACAGAGCAAAGTCAAGGGACGCTTTATTTGTTACATGTAATTAAAAAGCAGTTTGCTGTTAATAATTTATATTTGTTTTTGCTAGAACGAAAAACAGAAGGAAGCTGCAATTACTTTAAATAATATGTGGGTTTTGTTACTATTTAAATGAAGGTTGCCAGTTGTCAGGGGCACCCAACGGCAATTTTCGGGAAAATATCTGTTCGGAAGACGATTTGAGAACTAGAATTTTCGGAACATTTGTTGTAAAATTTCTTGCTTGCCTGCCTCTCCTAGGATTTTCGAACATCGACAAAATGGTATAATTACCCATTTTAAACGGATATTTACCCTAAAAAAGGCCACCTAGAATTTTCGGGAGCCTTTTCCTGGCCGAAATTTTCGAAAAGGTAAGTTTTGATCCCTATAATTTTCGGATCACTAGACTTTCAGCTAGGAAATCCGAACAGATGAAACGTTTTTAGGGGATGAAAATATGCCTATATCTACCGTTCAAATACTAAAATACGTTTAACAATGCTATGTTAAGTGGTTTTGAACTATTTGCTCGTTGGGTGCCCCTGAGTTGTATAAGACTATACTCATTATACACGTTCATATCATAACAATTGTAGTCTGGATGAATTAGTCGTTATGTCGCTTAAAAAGAAAAAAATTGATCGCGCGACTTACATACATACATACATATACTTTATTTATGCTCGAAATTTATAGACTAGCTGTAGAGCTAATGTATTCGAGAAAGTTGTTGCTTGTTGCAACAGAACACTGAGCACAGTCAAGACTTCTCAGTATTTTGTTAAATAAAGAGCAGTTAATAATTTATATTTGCTTTTGCTAGAACAAAAGAAAAAAGGAACCAGCAATTATTCCGAATAATATTTGAGTCTTTTTAGCATTTAAATGAAGTTTGCAAAGTTTCATAAAAACGTATACTCGAGTACACGAGTTCATATGATAATACATGCGAAACTCAAGGTTAAAAATTCACATTAAGCTAATATGCAAGAACAGTTGAACAAGGATTGCTTTCCACTGCCACGTAACTTCAATCTACTTGCGAACGCACGTAAAATTTACGTGCCGTCTTACTCATAGAGTCATCAGTCAGAGCTCCGTCAAAACTCTAATGCGAGGAATCGAAACTACAATTTTCAACACATCTTTAAGTCAGTTATCTGTTCGCTGACCCGGACCGGATCCGTAAAATAACGCTCTAAAACTCCTAACAGTTAGTTAGGGAGTACTTAGAATGCGTAAAGGTGTGATCTGGCCTCATAAAAGGGAAAACAACAGAGAGATTGGGCTATTGTTAGTTTAACCCGCCTACTCCACGATGAAGAGTACTGCCGGGCGTGACAAAGACTCCTGTTCAGCATTTTAGAACAGCAATAAGCGATATTACAGACCAAGAAGCTTTCACCGACTGTGGTTAAATGTCGCAAGAACAATAGCCAATTTTCTCCCGATGAAAGAGGCGACGCTTTTTAGTTTACTTTAATTAACTTTTACCTTTACCCGCGACCTTCAATACATTGCCTCTATTTTATTTACGCGCGTAAAATATACGTGTGTACTTACGTCAAGGTTACGCGTCAGCGGAAACCCACCCTATGTACTTTAGGTTTGCTTGGTTACACTGACCGTAAGGAGTCTGCGAACGAGAAAAGAAGGAAAGAAAGCGAGGGATTGCTATCACCCCTTTGTCTCCCCATTACTAAGGAGAGTGATGCCTGTACACTCTACCGAACGAATTTTCGACCGGCTGAAAAATTTGACCGGACACTTTGTTAATACGGGACTTTGATCTGCTAGACGTCTGATTTCTTTGTACGGTGAAGGTGGTTCCGTCTGAACAGAAAACCTAAAAGCGTAAATTTCAACTGGTCGAAAAATCGTCCGACGCACATTGTGAACATAGTTCACTGAGGTTAAACTTAACTCAAAAAAATATGGGGCTAGATTATTATGGCTGCAACTGTCAGAACTGTTTAGAGCATTAACTCAAGCGTCACGTTCACTCTTGCTATTAAAAGGGTGAGAAATTAAGGAAAGGGAACCATATCATTTACTGGGAGTACATACGAAATTTGATTTGAACCGTTTTCAACGAAAGTTTATCCTTATGATTCCAAACGTATACGTTTACTTGAAAGAAACCCTTGACGTCAGTCCAGGTAATGAATCCGTTGAAAACTTGAGCAAAAAATTTTCAGCTCTCTCCTTCCTTCAAGATATCCTTCAAGAAAACCAAGCAGCTCAGTATTTGTTGGAAAGGTAAGCGCTAAGTTGTTCTGAGAAAAAACAACGATAAGCCTCTCCTCGCATGATCGCGAAGTCATCTTGTTAATAGTCACCGCCGCACAGTTAAATCTCGCTGAATTTTGTCTTTCTTTTAACAGGGGCACCGTAGGCACCCAACGTCAATTTTCGGAAAATATCTGTTGGGAAGACGATTTGAGATCTAGAATTTTCGGAACATATGTGATAAGGGTACATTAGAATAGCCATGAATTATCTTGTAAAGTTGAATCAAGCAAAGGTATTTCCTTCTGAAATCCAATGTTGACCAGTTTAGTTTAGTGAGCCTTTCAGAGTAAGATTTATCAGATCCGCATATCAATCGAGTAACACGACGCTGGATGGATTCAATACCGACTATGTGTTAAACCAAATATGGGTTCCACACTGGGAAGGCATATTCCAGGATAGGACGAACTCAAACATTAAAAGCTGTTTTTATTGCTGCAGGATCTTTGGACCCAAAAGTTTTCCTTCTTCTCTCCTAATGCGACACTTTTCCAAAACGTCGCAGTTTTATCAGTCGTAGCTCAAGCATTTCACACAGTCGTTTATATATTAAGACCAACATCCTACAGGAATGAGTTACACGCGTAAAGTGGTAGGCTTTAGTTAACATTGTTATTTTCTTTAAAACACAGCGCCGACAAGTCTTTTAAACTCTTTCTTTATGTCTCTTTTGAAAAAGGCATAAGCCAGCGGATTAATGGCCGAGTTTAAAACCAGGACAGGAATTTTGTAAATTCCATCGTCGCATGGCGATGAGGTAGACAAGTGTAGAATAGTAGTATGAAACTACAACGCAGATACATACAATAGCAAGCAAGAAACACTCCTATCACAATACCCATCATTAATTATCATCATCATCATCAGACTGGATCGATCTTCAACAAGTTACGTTCATCCTAAAGAAATCTCACGATCATTTGTCACAGCGCTTGACTTAGAATATAATTACTTTTTAAGTTGACTTGAGGTGTTTCGGTACAGTTTTTCAGAGGCCATACAGATATTTTTCAATCGTCTTAAAAGTAGTTTTTCCCTTGTCTGATCGCTAAAAAATTTTCACCAGTAATTGGCTATGGATTGAAATTTATGAAAGTGTAGTTGTAAGTAAAATCAATATTACTATGTCAACAATAAACAAAAAATCTTTGTAACTGATAAAAGCCGAATTTTGTGTGATGTACTAGATTCCTAGAATTGACCAACTATTTCCGGTGTTTGAAATGTATTCCTTATCATTAAACTACTTATAGGCAGTTATATTTCATCTTGATACAAATTGATTGTCACAGCTCTGCACAATACAAATTATCATGACATTCATTATCACCGTCAGTAAAAATGAAAACGATTAGTACCGCGGGGGGTACTCCCTATAATGGCCTATACGGGGGAGGCTCCGCCCAAGGGGGGTACCTTTTCAGGCTTTAGTACTTAAATATATGAAAGGGCAAGGGTTTCATTAGTTTAAGTATATGAAAAACTATGAAAATCTGTCCTTTTGGTCTGAAATAGAACCAAAAAAAGGACAAACAGATATTTTTTGTGGATGCGAAAGAGACAAGAAAACTTCCCACTTCCGTGATTGATTTATATTCAAAAGAAGGTGCAAATACAGCAATTAACGTCTAAACTAGGTATATGTGATGATTACTATCTGTCAGTAGAAGGTATACACAAGGGGTAACTGATATATAAAAGGGTAAGAGGGATTGGACATCGCGGCACAGCCTCCCTGTATAAAACTTCGTTAAGTGCCCTCCCCCCCCCCCCTCCACTCGGGAGAGTAAAAAATAAATGCTACCTTGATATTTATGCAAAGTGTTCTTTATAATCTATAGTTAATAAGAACTTCCTTTAACTGTTAAGATGGAGACCTGGTTTTGGATTCTTGGCTGGGTTCTTTCATTTCTGGCAATCACTGGAAATGGATTTACAATCTTCCTCGTTTGCAGCAGACGAAATCTCCACACGAAAACCAACGCGTTTATTGCTTCACTTGCCGTGGCGGATTTCTGTGTTGGTTTGAGCGTTATTCCTTCTCCGTTTTTATCCGACGTTATAAACACCTGCCACTGGCCTCAACATTGGCTGTCTTGTGTGAATTTTATAACGCGGTTGTTTAGTTACACGTCTGTTGTAAACTTATGCTTCTTAGTACTGGATCGTTTTATTGCCATCGTCCATCCTCTAAAATACAGTACTTTTATGACTCGCCGTCACATCATCCAAGTTATTTTCTTCTCTTGGACTGCAACAGCTGGTTTTGAAGTGCTTCAGTTTTCACTTCGTGTTAGTTTAAAAACGAGACTTGTTGATGCTATTTTTTGCTGGCTGGATGTCATTTTTCTCGAGTTTTTCCCGTCTACGCTGATAGGTATTCAGGTTTCAAGCATTATGGGTCAGCACACACTTTAACGAAATAGCTACGATATAATCATCACTGGGTATCTCTTAAAACCTATCACGGCGAGAAGTCTGATGTAATAATGATGGGTATTGTGATATGAGTGTTTGTTATTACCTACGGAATGTATTTACGTTGTCAGTAGTTTTCTAATACTATTCGACACTACTGGAATGGCATCATGCAACGATGTAAAATACAAAATTCCTGTCTTGGTTTTAAATTCGGCAATTAACCCCCTGGTTTAGGCTTTTTTCAAAAGAGACGTAAAGAAAGAGTTTAGAAAACTTATCTCTATAAATATGTTTTTAAAGAAAGGCAACCAAGTTAAGCCTTCCATGTACGTGCTTGACACAAGGAGGCATCTTAGTAGCTCGCTCGTATAGAAAAGTACTTACAGTTGAAATGTACCGTCAAAAAAACTAGATTTGCTGTATGCTTAGAGCTTAGACTGCTTAGAGCGGCATGGTTAGAGCTGGCAAATCCATTGCTCTTTTTGGACTTAAAGTGAATTGAAATTTGGAAATATTGGGATTTGAGGAACGAGCAAGACCCATAGGAACCTGAGAATACTCTTTTTAGAGAAAGCTAGAAAGGACACAAAATACACCTAACGTGTAAGCGACGCTTAGTTTGAGATTCAATCCCAGTGTTCATCATAGTAAGTGGTATAGTAGGATACGAACGTTTGATGGTAGAAAATGAACAAACAAACAAATAAACAAAATGGCAAAAGAGAAGGAGAATCGCGAAATATGTGTCATATTAATGTGTCTGCTGGGAACTTACTTAAACACCATTTCTAGTTTTTGCTATTAGCTTTTGAGACTTATTGGGAAACCGTGCAATAAAAGTTCATCATGTTTTCAGTTAGAAAGATTACTTCTTTTGTCTTGTGTTCACAATGGGTGTTTAAAATTTCGTTTTTGCAACTTTGAAGACAAAATGGATCGTGGTGAGCGGTGTAAAACATGGTTTTTTTCTTCCCGTCATTGACGTTCACATGCCTTAATCAGCATTACGAAATTCAAAGAACGGAACCTCCATATCACGAAGGACCAAGGGACAGGCAAAATGTGTTCGCTATAACGACGTTTCGTTATATCGAGGGTAATCCACTGTACTAGATGATCGAAAAGGCGATGAAAGATAACGAAATGAAAATAGTTATGTACAAAATAAATCATTTTCTATTCCTGAAAGGATCTTATGAGATTAACTGGTATGAAGAAAGAAGGAAAAACACACGTAAAAAAAAAAAAAAAAAAAAAAAACTAAATCCCTTCACATTCGCAACCTGAAGAACTGATCTTTTTCCCCTATTATACAAATCCCTAAATTGGAACTTTACGCAACATTGCCCATGGTCAAATTTCGAGCAGGGCCACCTGTGATTCAACTTAAAAAATCAATAATGAGTGCCTTTCAGGAGCCTTTGAAATATTATGATTGTTAATTATGACAGTTGGTATTAAAATGACAGTTGCGCTGTTCATTGGTCAAGAGATAAAGAGGACCAGCATAAAATTGTTATGAATTAAGTCTGATCGAAGTAAAATGATCTTTTTCAAGGGGAAAAATAATGCATGTTTCATTATTGTTTTTGGCAAAATTTGTCAACTTCTAATTTCCCATGCTAAATAAAAACTAAACGAACGAAAAGAGTTTCTTTTCTTAGTCTGTATAAATCGTGACACAAAATTGACTGTTGGCTGGTTGCTCACTAGGCAGTCCAACACCAAACAGGGGAAGAGTTGTCCACCGCTGGAACGCTATGATATTCAATAAGATTTTCGAAAAATTAATCGACAAGAAATGGAAGTACAACAGAAAAATTTTAAGCTAATTTATACAACAGGATAAATTGAAGTTAATGTGATAACCATAAACCCGCCCTTACCAGTAGTGGAATCAGCTCACTTCCTTTCCACATGCAGGAAGTGACCCCTGTCACACTAATTGTTTCGCTCAGCCAATTAGATGCCAGCTATCACATGTACAGTTGATGCCTATATTTTCGCGCCTAGCTCAGCAAAATAGCACTTCATATTCTTCTCTTCGTGGAACAAAATCCCATCCCACCCTCCCTTATTACTGCTTGATTCTCTCTGCTGGTTTTCTTAAGGTTTTTTTTGAGGTCTTTTCTCTTGTTGAAAAATTTAAGAAGCTGCTTATACTTTTTGCAGTCATACGAACTACTGATCTTTGTTGTTTACACTTTGAATCAATTGGCAATTATCAAGAAGATATGGCAGAAAAGAGGTGGGTTTTCTACTGAGGGGAATCATCGTACCCGGCATCGTAACATGCTTGTGCACTTAGTTACTTTGGGCCTTATTTTGATTATTAAGTTGATAAAAGTTTAATTGTCATTTACTTACAACTTCTATTAATACATTTTCGTCTAACCTCTCTCCCTTGAGGTTCATGTTAAGTGTCTGGCTCTGCTTTCGGGAGGGTTCAGGTTTTCCTCAAAAATAAGTGAGGGTTTTTCCTGACGGGCAGCAGGCACGCAATCCTAGCTTAAATTAGTGATGATATCTGTATTGAGAGTTGTTGGCAATTAATAAACATGGGTTCGGGATGAAGTGCTCCCATACAGGTCACACTTTGCCCCATAGACTCTTGTTACTCCTTAAACCGGGGAATTAGACATCTAGAGAGGTCTTTCCACCTCTCCAGTACCCAAGGGGGGTTATCACCTCCACTCACAACCTTGGGGGATTATCAACCCCTAGAGAGGATTATCACCTAGCTTCTCACTATCCTGGGGGATTATCACCCCCAAGAGAGGATTATCACCTCTCACTATCTTGGGGGATTATCACTCCCTAGAGAGGATTATCACCTCTCCCTTTGTAGATTTCGGACTGTTACACCAATATGTAGAGAAAAGTGACCTGCTGTCCATATTTGGAGTACTTCATCCCTTACCCCTTTTTTCCCCATAATAATTCTGGTCTAGTTACTTGCTTTATCTAAGGGGTTATGGGTTAAGAGCATTAACCTCGAGATAAAAATATATTGATAATTTTGCAGGACAGTTGTTTGAGGTCATATCGAAGCTTCTAGGTTTCTAATTATGCCATTGTGTATATTTTAAGAATTGTAAATTTAACACGTGTTCTACCATGGTCAATAATTAAAAAAGGTGCAACCAGACAATTACGTCGAGATATCCTGCGTTGCAGCAACGTTGCAGGCGGACCACGCATTATCTTTCTTCGACGCGGGAAATCGTCGACGACAATACCTTTTGAAAACTTTAATTATCGGCAACGTTAACAAAAAGGACGATAAACAGGTGAGCCTTCCACTTAATGATATTGATACTGCCCAAATTAACATACTAAACTGACATGATCAAAAGCACTGACAATACTATTACTAACCAACCTGACTAAAAATAAATATATATATCAGTTCAATACATTGAACAATTACATAATAAATAAATTAATAGAAATAATAGATAGATTAATATATCTAAAATATCCAAATTCTATTCTTTCTGATTGGTCCGGCCAAAAACAAAAACGTTTGGCATAGTACTGTCCTGATCGGCTAAAGGTTTCATCCGGTCAATTTGTCAATAACTTGGTAGAAATTGTTTTTCATTGTTTTATTATCATTTTGCCATGAAATTAATTTTAAAAAAAGAGGCAAGGGAGCCCAAGGAAGCCAAGAAGGCTTAGCTTGTGAATAGGAACACCTTTAAAAGTATGTTATCTAATTAATAAATAAAATACTGACATCGGTAAAGGATTGAGTGATTTAAATAAAACGTAAACGATACCGGTAGTGAACGAACGCCCTCCTGTTCACTTTTGGTTTTATATTCAGGGCCATCCCTAATAGCCAATGCATTGAAAACAGTTCCCTTTCTTTTCTTATAATTCTCCAGTTGGTATTTTACTACAGCACAGAAATACACTCGCTATTTTTTGAAAAAAATGCCATAAAACCATAGCCGTAGTGAGAAATAATATTATGTAAAATGAGATTTAGTTGATCGGGACGTGCAGACCGCATATATGGTAAAGCAATACTCAGGCTGACGTCACCTCTTAATAGGGAGCTTTAGCATCGACGACGGCGACGGCAGCGAAAACGCCACTTTTAAAATGAATTCACTTTTTTTAGAAACTCTGTCGAGTTTATTCCAATTCGCTGAAAATGTTAAATGCAGGCGAATTTCCCTGGAGTTAATTTCTTGGAGACCGCACTCAAGTTTAGAAAGAGAAAGAAAAATTTGGCGTCGCTTGTTTACGCACTCCATTAAACGTGAAATTACGCATTTTCACGTCGTAGTCGTGAAGTGACAGAAAAGAAATGTACAAAAAAGCATGATGTACGTGCAAAGTCATTGTTTTGCTTAATAAACCTATTGGTTTTTTGAAGTTCCCTTTGCCTTTGTCGTTACTAAAGGTCCCTAATATTAATGCGCCTAATGTTAATGTGCCGACCCGAAGCGCATTGGTTCTTACACTAAAAATTCGTTTGTTTCACTCGTTACAAATTTGACTAACAATAAAAGGATGTTTGTAAACAGTGACGTCTCTTATAGCTGAATCGTGGGGTTTTTTTTGTCTGTACTCACAAATGAAAGTTACTGAATTAGTTATTAGACTCCACTTAGTAGCCAGCCCGAGTACATGCTGCTTGCAGCGTCTTCTTTACTTCTTTTCTTTACTTTCTTATTGCTGTGGAAAACGATTGAACAAGTAATCGAGATAAATTGAATCGTATCCCGCGTGATGTGAAATTCAATAATTTGTTAATGAAGCTCATCGATAAAAAAAACTTAAATTAAACCCACAAAAAACTGAGAAGGCCATGGGATGGGTTACATGCCAGCTGGAAATTGGTTAAAATCTTAACGTGACTGACAGCTGAGAAATGATATCAAGTATTGAATGTGGCTGAATAGATCTGTATAATTCTTCAGATCATGCAAAAGCCAAATTCAATAATTGTTTTTATCATTCCTTTCAAAATATTTATATCTAAGCTACCTAGTATGCTTACCTCGAACGATGCCTTAAAGTTTTGTCTGTTCTGGCGGTAAATACAGGGGCGATTTAAGGGATGTGTAATCCATCAAAAATTGGCAAAAAGTGGTTATCATCAGTGGTGTGTTATAGTCTTGGGTAGTATTTTTTAAAATTTGTTCAATGGTGTAAATTATCTAACTGATGTGCAAACAGTTGTCCTCTTAATTGGCCAAGAGGTGGAGACAACCAACATAAAATCGTCAGAAAGTCTGAATATAAAATAACAAGCAGGCTTTAATTTATCAAGGAGAAAGGAAAAATGTATATTTTTATTACAGCTACATGTATGTATATGTATGTATATTCTGTAGATTCGTTAAAATTTGTGATAAAAGAATTCAGTAGACAACCTGACCCCCGGGGGGGCGGGGTACTGCCAGATGGGATATATAATGTTCCGCTTTATAGGGTATGGTGTTCAAGCAGCTAAGTCTGGGACTAGATATAGATATCAGAGAGCAACTCTTGGATAGGGAGGAATTTGGGAAGTTTAGTTTAGTATAGACTAGCAAAATTCAGCTGAACCGGAAGTATAGGATAGATATTCCGGTGTCGCAGCGGCACATTGCCACCCGAAAATTTCTAAAGGACCCCCCTCCCGCCCCGGGCGGGCAACCCTAAAAGAGTAGACGAGATGTCCACTGCTTAAACGGTACATTAAAAAGCGCTACATGATAAAATCTTCGAAATTAAGCGATAAGAAAAGATCACTTTTATATCTTTAACAACGTATTAGATTCCAAGAATTTATTAAAACATTTTGTACTTATTTTATTATCAAACACGCAAAGAAACGTTTGGTATTTAATATATTATCGTCCTGATGCAAATTTTTGCTATAGCAAAGCGCAAGACAAATCATTACGACATTAATTAGCAAATTATTACAAATAAAGACGATTAAAAGAACAAATAGAGCGTTTTCACTCACGTGGCCAGCAACTATGCAAATTTATTGGAACAAAAGAGAGCGTTTACAGAAGAGAAGAGTTCAGTCAACTCCCACAGGATTGGTTGGCACGCCAACAACGCCGCCGTTTCATTGTTTTAAAACACCAATATGGCCGCCGTGACGCCATGTAAAAACGCCCCATGCTAACCAGTTGACATGTGTCTCTGATATTTATGCAAGATGTTGGTTATATTCTACAGTTGACAAGAACTTCTTTTAACTGTTAAGATGGAGACATGGTTTTGGATTCTAGGCTGGGTTCTTTCATTCCTGACCATCATTGGAAATGGATTTACAATCTTCCTCGTTTGCAGCAGACGAAATCTCCGCACCAAAACCAACGCGTTTATTGTTTCACTTGCAGTAGCAGATTTCTGTGTTGGTTTGAGCGTTATTCCTTCTCTGTTCGCATGCGACGTTACAAACACCTGCTACTGGCCTCAACAGTTGCGATCTTGGGTGAATTTTATAAGGTGGTTGTTTAGTAACACGTCTGTTGTAAACTTATGCGGCTTAGTACTGGATCGTTTTATTGCCATCGTCCATCCTCTAAAATACATTACTTTGATGAATCGCCGTCGAATTACCCAAGCTATTTTCTTCTCTTGGGTTCTACCAGTTAGTTATAATGTGCCAATGTTTGCCCTTTGTATTGTTTTATATCAAAACAATACCTGTCCTTTTGCAACTTGGCTGACCATAGTTTTCGAGATTCTTCCATGTGTTATACTGATACTCTGCTTTGTATCAATGGTATTTCACGTATGCAGACATGATCGGTCAGCACACACCTTAGCAAAACAGTTAAGTTTTAACCATCAGGTTTCTTTTAAAACCCATCAAGAGAAGTCTGCAGTAATAATGATGGGTCTTGTGATAGGAGTGTTTGTTGTTTGCTATGGGATACATCTGCGTTGTAGTTTTCTATTACTATCGTCATCGCCCTGCAATGATAAAAACTACAAAATTCCTGTCTTGGTTTTAAACTCGGCCATTAACCCGCTGGCTTATGCCTTTTTTAAAAGAGACATAAAGAAAGAGTTTAAAAAACTTGTTGGCACTGTGTTTTAAAGAAAATACATCAATTTTAACTAAACCCTACCACAGGACGCGTGACTCAATTTTGGAGGATGTAGGACTTAAAAGACGATGAGAGGCTTGAGAAGAGACTGCCAGATGGATCTGTGACTCTTGACTGAAAGCCAATTGGAATTTGGAAAAAAAAGGCGTATGAGGAGAGAAAACAAGAACGTTTGGACCCTAAGAGAATGCAAAATATTGGAGAAAGGACTTAGGATCAAGTTCACAGAGTAATGGAAGGCGAAAGTTCTTATTGCATGGAACTTTTAATGTCACTGGTGAGAGTATAATTTTATGTTCACATCCTGCTGGCAGACACTTGGTCTCATTTTCTCTATTTTGGTGCACTGTTAAAAAAGATATATTCTGCATGAATCGAGAATCGAGTAAAATCGTTTTTGAGCATGCATGTGAATTAAGTAGTAGTTTATTTATCTTCCAAATGCAAATTATTCCGATCAATTTAGCTTAGCCTGAATGAAATGTTTAAGAACGTTAGTACGATCTGCATACAGGAGTGCTTTTATTTCTCATTACGCGAAAGGCCATCATTTTCTGTAGCAAACACGTTTCCACGCTGTTTCTTTGCTTTGAGTTTAACTTCTTGTAGTATCTCATATATATGTATTTTTTTCGACAGTCATGCAGTTTTATCTACTAGCTTTTGATTGGATAGCGAAAACGAAACAAACTTCTAATAAATTGCTGCCTAACTTTGGCCGTAATTTGTAACACCTGTCGCAGTTTCTAATAAAGAACTGTCGCAAATAAGAATACACGAGGAGCCGCAAGCAGTAAAATTTCTGTCCCGTAATTTAATCAGTTAAAATCATCAAAGTTGACAGGTCTTTCTGATGATCAAAGCGACCGTTCGGTTTACCCTTTACACCTTCAGTGCGAAGACTGTTACGGGAACATTAACACCTTCAGGATAATTGCTTACCATAACAGTGGTAGGTCGCGCGCGTCTGGTCGGTTTCGAAGAACGTGATCGTGACTGTTGTTTTCATTCAGTGACTGTGCGCGTTGTTATAAAAGCAAAGAAGCTGCTGAGTAGAAACTAAACCGTCCCAGACGTATTCCGTTTCATTCGTGTACTTTCATTTTGATGGGGTCTTTATGATGAATTTACTTCTGCCTTCTAATCAGGCACGTAAACAACATAGAGATAAAACATTTCATTTTGCTTTTGTGGAGTAAATTCATCTTAAAAAAGTTAAAAAACTAGTGGACCACTTTCTCCGCGTACTTGTAAAAATAGGCATTTAATATGTCGCGCTACAGTGCGAAAATCTTCTTGTCGTGGATTAGATTTCAGTATACATATTCTTCATTTCGCGCCAGAATAAATTAGTTTGCGCGCAAAGGGTTTCTAAAAAAAGATCACAAGGTTTGTCCCACGTCGAGTCCACCTTCTGGAGATACGCCGGCATGGTAGCTGGAATACATTTCCGAGGCGAAGATCTCGCATTTTTTCCTCCTCGTCTTTTTTCTCCGCGACGTTTGTTTATATTTGTAGTGAGAATGCCGCGCATATCGGTGGATTTTACTTCAGTCAAGCGGCTTCAGTTCCTGCGGCTTGCTACTCATCATAAAGAAGAGTGCCGGAATCGCTTTGTTCGCCTTTAACAGATTTGTTGTCGAATGCAAGGTAAAAGAACGGACTACTGTAAGGTAAGAATTGAAGTTTAAATTTGTTTCTCGGCGAAAAATAGTGCATACAACTCGTGAAACCCGTGAGTATTACCTCTGTTTAATATACCGGATGTCATGCGATGACCCCTCGCTTTTACGATGGATAGGACGGATACAAACAATAATTTCTTTCTCAACGTTTAGTATCATTTACTTAACATGGAGATCATCTGAGGACGATTTTTCGTTATATATGCTTCATTTCTTGGCTTATTCCGGCTACGTGCGAAAAATTAGATGACAATGTTTGTGTGCTATAATTATACTGATAATTTCTTGCACCTTGAAACTCATGAAAGCCAAACTTGTTTAACCCTAGCAAAAAACTCTTTTAATGGAGGAACTCAAGCTGATAGTTGCACTAAAATCTAATAATTAATAATAATAATAATAATAATAATAACAATTTTATTTATATAGCGCTAAAATCCAATAATTGTCCAAAGCGCATTTGCATTTGCATGCTCTCTGTAACCTCGTGGGTAGAACATACCTGATGGTTACATTAATAATAATCACTGCATATTCCTGATGTTAATAATAATCACTGCATTTGCCCTCTGTAACCTCGTGGGTAGAACATACCTGAAGGTTACGTTAATAATAATCATTGCATTTTCTCTTTGTAACCGCGTGGGTAGAACATACCTGATGGTTACATTTAAAATAATAATCACTGCTTTTGCTCTCTGTAACCTCGTGGGTAGAACATACCTGAAGGTTACGTTAATAATAATCATTGCTCTTTCTCTTTGTAACCTCGTGGGTAGAACATACCTGATGGTTACATTAATAATATCACTGCATTTGCTCTCTGTAACCTCGTGGGTAGAATATACCTGACGGGTACATTTAAAAATAATCACTGCATTTGCTCTCTGTAACTTCGTGGGTAGAACATACCTGAAGGTTACGTTAATAATAATCATAGCATTTTCCCTTTGTAACCTCGTGGGTAGAATATACTGACGGTTACATTTAATAATAATCACTGCATTTGCTCTCTGTAACCTCGTGGGTAGAACATACCTGAAGGTTACGTTAATAATAATCATTGAATTTTCTCTTTGTAACCTCGTGGGTAGAACATACCTGATGGTTACATTAAAAATAATCACTGCATTTGCTGTCCGTAACCTCGTGGGTAGAGTATACCTGATGGTTACATTAATAATAATCATTGCATTTTCTCTTTGTAACCTCGTGGGAAAAAAATTAATGCCGGGGAATTTTGCCCTGTCCTTTGAGCATAGCGATCTTTGGGTAGCGAATTAACAAAAACAGGTAAAACGCTTTTTTTAACAACAGCATTTATATTATTTGGCTTTTTGAGGGAGGTTAAACATTCATGGAATAGAATATAAAAAAAGCTGATAAAGCGGAAAAAGTTATCTTTACAAAATGCGCTTTGACAATGTCAAGGAGTGAAATAAGCTGAAGTTTTGTAGTTAGCCCGAAGAAAACCTGTTCCTGCATGAAAAGCAGTTCTTAACTAGAAGAGATGCATATCACTGCGAACCAGTTTTTTTAACTAGGAGCGATCCCCACTCACTTAAGATACTTTATTGACACGAGTTCCTATTTCAACATATGTCTAATTCAAGCTTAGCCGCGTGATAGCTCTTCATTAGCGAAAAGGTCCAAGTGATATTTTGATTGACGTGTTGTTTTGGATCCTGAGGTTTTTTAACACCTTTTCTCTAGCTTAACTGGCGAAGATATTCTAGGAATTTGCCCTTCAATTCCAAATTCTTTGATGTGCCGCCAGATGCCGTGCAAAAATATCACCTCTTGCGGCTCCTCGTGCAATGACCTCGCAATTATTTAGTGAACCAAGTTAACAATAAATTACAGTAAAGGGATAACTCACGTGACTGACCTTGTCCCGTTTGACTGACAGATGTTTTAGCGCTATTGCCACGTGACGGTCTACATTTTCTCTAGCTCTTGCTAACTTGGGAAAACGTCAATTTGATAAATGTGACCCTGCTTTTACGCAAAAGCGTTATTGCGGGCGACGAGAGGAGCCTGCAATCCTAATCTCCAGGTTGTTATTACGCATGCGTCGCATGTATGTAGCCAGCATTAGTTTGGACTTCCACTAAGAATGAATGGAATGCACAGAACGCAATTTGATCACGCGCATCTCGACCTTCTGCCCCTCGTAATCGGATCACGCGTGTTTTGACCATATGTCACGTGAAACTTACGCAAAGCAAACCGATGGAGCAAAAGCGTTTTGACCTTCGATCGTTTTGGCTGCACTCCCTTACCTTTTGTTATTACTAGTTACTCGTTATTTCGCATGCGTCACATGTATGTAGCTAGCATTCGTTTTGCTACTCCTTTTGTCGACGAAAACGACTACAGCGAGATTTCTGCAAAAGCTGTGTCAGCGAAACCGAAATTAAAGAAGAATCGCCCTTCCTCTCTTGTATAGAGTTAACAGTAGAGCAGGGAAATCCTTAACACACTGAATATTCTCTCAGGATCATTTACAACTTACAGTTTGAAGAGAGCAATTTTTGGTTTAATGTTTATTTTTTTCAGTCTTTATAGCGATTATTCCTACCCACTTACATTGTCAATTGTAGGCGAACCCTCCTAAAGCTGACATACTAAATTCTGCAAGCAGAATACTGCAATGCTGATCGTACTACTTGAAAATTAACTCTGCAAGACAACAACACGACAGCGAAAGAACTCAAAACAGAGCGGGATTGTAGCCATAGACAGCTGTTTCGCCCTCGTTGGGGCTCGTAAAGCTGAATTTCAAGGGACCATATTCAAGCTCAGAAAGAGAAATAAAATTTCGTCGTTGCTTATTTACGCCCTCCATAAAACGCGAAATTACGCATTTTCACGTCGTAGTCGTGGAAAAACGGGAAAGAAATGAACAAAAAAGTGTGTTGCACGTGCGAAGTTGTTGTTTTGCTAATTAAACCTATTATTTTTTTGACGTTCTAGTTGTCGTCCGCGTCGTTGGATCTTAAACTCCCTAAATTGTACAAACGAACGGTTTCAATAGACCGGCGAAATTTCTCATTTTATTAAAGCACTGAGGTTACAACAACTTCGAGTTAAACTGATTTCACGGGTTGTCAAAGAGTCCAGCGATTCCTTTTTCCCAGGTGAGCGCCGAATCATTTCGCTTCAATATTCAGGAATTCTCGATCTTTTTACGCTTTCATTGCCTCTCGCCCGACATGTTTTGCACGGCGTTTGGTCATGCGAAACCTCCACGAAACATCCTTGCCTCGCGCGAGGTAACTTTATACCGATTCTAAAAATAACTC